ATAGCCACAATTGATTCTATTCTGCGGTATGGCTGCGAGAGTTGAACTCTAACAGTAGTCCAGAGAAGTCATTAGATGGAACTTATACACGCATGCTTCGTAAGGTTTTAGACATTCACTGGTCAGGCCACATCCCAAACGAAATCCTATTTGGTAACCTACCTAAGGTCAGTGACAAAATAGCCTCCAGGAAAATGCAGTTAGCTGGGCATTGCTTCCGTCATCCGGGGCTCAGCGCACAATCATTGGTACTGCGGTAGACATCGTGGAAGAGGTTGACCCATTGCCACCTTTTTGGACACACTCATGCAAGTGAACTAGCTTCCCTGATGGCCGCTTGGAAAAACTGGCGTAGTCATGTAGTTGATCGTCTAAGGAGAGAGGGAGTTATTGTATGAAACAAACCTGTCTTGTGTTATTTGGCAAAAAAAAAAAGCCTCAGTGTTGTCAGGGGAGTGTTGAATCCTTGGAATAAACATGAACTCAAATTCAGATTTCGGTGATTATGAGTTCTGGCGCCGAGAGAATTTCATCGGCATCGAAAGCAATTTTTTTGGACTTATCTAGAGATAGATGAGCGGTTAACGTAACGGCTAGGATATTTTTCATAGGTCGAGAGTTCAACCCAGGGCTGGCGAGGTAATGGGTCTCATTTTTAACATTAATTTCTATTAGCTGCAAAATTGAAGCATTCTGGTTTAATATAATTATGTACTCAATGACAAATAAAACCATAACAGTAGAGTTCTTTCGCTATACCTGTTAATGTGCGAGAAAGGCCAGTGCAAACACTTCGTAAATTTAACCTTAGGCTTTATCCAAAGAATGAACAAAGCAGACCAATATATGTCTTATCTAATTACAGTTCACAATGAATACATGAGCATGATACTTTATTCCCAGTCTGGACTCTTCACTTCATGAAAAAGTAAAAGAGAAACGCTTAAAACGCTTGGAAACCTTTTAACATATTTTATGTTCGATCCAATAACCTGTAGTTTTAATGAATTGTCTCTTCATTACTCCTAGCAATGATACATGATACTTTAAATTAAATTTCATGAGCAATCTATTTTAAAAACTCCAAAGAATAATTTTCATTAACACCAAAAGCTTATGAATTTACATTTTTGTCAGAAACAACGTTTAAGAGAAAATAGACTGAAGTGCAAAAACGGGATTTAAAAAAATAATTTATTTTTATTATTCTGTTTTATTATCACAGAACTTAAATACTTATGGAAATACCATAGTATAACCTACTCTGTACTGTATGAAGTATGGTCCCATCGATGGACGGTCACGTGATGAATGAATATTACGTGTATTTCAATTTCGCAAGGGCATACACAAGTTAAATCTATCAATTGTTTCTACATACTTTGTACTTACTGTAAAGTGCTGCTGCTTGGAATAGAATTCACATTTTAACTGTTAAAATTTCAAGTAAATAGGCGTAACGACGAAAAGTGACCCCCGTAGAATATTGACAAAGGGGCCATTTTTCTACGTAGTAAAATGACCCCGTGTCAATATTGTACGACAGGTAGGGTCATTTTTCGACTGTAGAAAAACATTCCAGACCAGTAATTCTATGACTCCACACACGTTGAAAAATGACCCCCGTAGAAATTTGACCAGCTGCTTTTTTATACTTTCAAACCTTATATCTGTGTCTCCTGATATTTTTGATACTTTCAAATGTAATAGGGGGAAATTTTTTAAATATACATGTACATGTACTTTAATCCTTTCCAACATATATTTGTTTGCATATCTTAATAGTAGCATCACAAACAATGTATCTGGAATGGATTTATTTTTGGTTAGCAGATTCCCAATAAAAAAAACTCCAAGAGCAGTTAGTACTGTGCAATAATATATTCAAGAAGTGGTGTGAATCAGATGTGGATACTCAAAAAATCCAAAAAACTTTTGGAAAATTTGAAATCAAAAGATTTTTTCCAAAATCAACAGCTTAAAAACTTGAGACTTTTCAAGTTTATACACAACCATTCCCTGCGATAAATTAAAGTCCAGGTTTTTTTTATATCATTGACAGCTGCTCTTTTCAATAAAATTGGAACTCGTAAATTCACTTACCTTGTCATTAGTCATTTGCAAAATTATTATTAAAACACATTCTGATTGCACACACAAGTACTCTGAAGTTGACATAAAAAGATGCTTGAGTTACAGATTGAAAATATATATGTGTAATTTGGAGACCAGGTCTTCAAACAATCTATTGGAATTTCCATGTGTACCATTGCGCTCCGTTAGTAGCAGATTTTTGTAGTCATATGAAGCAGATTTGTGCAAAATCTTATGCGTAAAAAGAAGAAAACACTTGCTGTGGCCTTCAGTTTGACATTTAGATATATCGACGACATATTGTCAATTAACAATGATAATTTCCATTCCTAAGTCGATACGATATATCCTGGTGAGCTTGAGATAAAAGACACCACGAGTCTGACAAATCTGTTTCACACTTGGACATTTTTTTTGAAAAAAACGTTAATAGTAATCTAACAACCAAGCTATATGATAAACGTGATGACCGTAACTTTTCTATCGTCAACTATCCTTACTTATGCAGCAATATACCTTCATCACCTGCATAAGGAGTTTATATATCTCAGTTGATTCGATACGCAAGAGCATGTTCTACGTAGGAACCATTTCTGAAACGAGGTAAATTATTGACAATCAAGTTGATGAAATAAGAAAATTAGAAGTCTCGTTTAAAGTCATCATTTCGTAAGTTCTATGTTTATTACATTGACCTTGTCGGCAAATACAATTTATCATTGAGTCAAATGCTGACTGATGTTTTTCGTACTAATTGTTAGTCCATTATTTATACACCTACATGTAATTGACGACAGATTTTTCCGTTATCTCCCAATCATGATAAGGAGCACACGGCGGGTGTGACTGGTCAGCAGGGAATGTTCACTTCTCCATGGCTGGCACCTGATCCCACCTCTGATGTTTCGGAGGTCCGTGTTTGCTCTGTTCCTATTTTGTATTGTTTTATGGACTTTGATTACTGTAGATCACATAATTTTCGAGACACCTTATTTTCGCGAGATAGTCATTGACTCTTTATTAGCGAAACATAATTTTCACGAATTGTTGTTTTTCCTCTGTATAATCGTAAGGAATACTTTTAAACACGAGAATGAAATTATCGCGAGCTTATTGTCTCACGTTATTACGCAAAAATTAAGTTCTCGCGAATAAAATGTGATTTACAGCACTGTATATACAGTATACTGAATACTGTTCGTGATCTCCATATCCTTCTACATTGAGGAGCATAAATTTATAATTTTTTGGGGGGGGTGTTTTTTATCATTTTGTTCCGAAAATGGCATGACATGTTTCTGATAACCATAAACTTTGAATTGCTTTTACAAATCCAAAAACATGGCATAGAAGCAAGAAAAGCACCGTAATTAACTATATATATTCAATTCCCTTAGCTCTTACCTTTAAACTTACATATACCTCTGCATGCATTCTGCTTTAAAATACATACATGTACTTTTTAATGATATTAAAATATCCTCCAAAACTGGCAGAAATTTACTTCTGACTGAATGATAGTTCAACCTTCAGAGATATCTGTAAATTAAAAAAAAAACTTTCCTTTTTAACACTTTTTAGCCCACAGACACCTGACAAATGGTTACTGTAACATTCCCTTTCGTCTGTGATTTTATAGACACTAACTTTGCAAAGTAAATGCAAAGGTAAAAGTTTGAAATTTTTGTGTAAAAGTGTGTCAAACTCCAAGGTCAAAAGGTCACTGTTGGTTGTACACAAAAAAGGTCTTGTCACAAAAACAGGAGGGGTGATCTAAAAGTTCGCGAACTAAGTGAAAAACTTCCAAAAAAGAAATAATATGGGGTTTCAGTGTTGAAAATGTTTTAAAGTAGTCCTCTCCTATTAAATGCACTTCTGGAACGATTCTGCCAATGCGCGGATCACGTGATATAAGCGATTAAGTGACATGCTTTTAGTGTTCTCTCACAGAAGCATAACATTTTTTCGGACTCTCATTTTTCTTAACATGCAAGTTATTTGTCACAGGGCGAATAAATTAATATTATAAAATATAATTTATAATTTAATATTAATAATTTGTGTCCTAATATATTAATTATTTCATTACCATCATCATCATTTTCACCTATACAGCATACACTACTGGCATTTAAAACCCCTGTCCGTATGAAAATCCCCTGTCTTTCTCTGTATCCTACAGCATTTTCACAGTAATCTATGGTATATCTACAGTATGGTATGGTATGCCAGCTCTGTATATACAGTAAATCTCTATATGCTACTGTATGTATCCCCAGCATGCCACAGTCACATACAGTAGGCTCCGATACGCCTACAGTATGCCACTGTATTGCTACTGTTTCCAACAGACACCTACGGTCATTCCCCGTATATGCCCCAGTACACCCCTGTATATGTTCATTGAAGCAAAAAAGAAGTTTACACACTCCCAGAGCACTGTACGGTTACCTTAGATGTAGAATTATCAGTTTTATACACAAAGTTACCTACCTGAGAAGTTTTTAACAATATTTTAAACACACTTTGTGTATTAAATTGATAGTCCCATATCTTAGGTAACCGAACAGTGCCATGGGAGTGTGTAAACTTCTTCTTTTCTTTCTTCTTGTCACATGAGTACTTTTCTTTCTTGTTTATTTTCATTAATTGAAATCGCAATGAAAAGATTTATTTCTTAAATTAAATGCGGAAAATTACTATAGTACATGCATATTTGTCAGAACTTTTCTCCATCTTATTTGTAAAGATTATCTTTTTTTACTAGTAATGGCCAGGAAATTTATTGTCAGAAATCATTTGTCCAAAAGGAAATATTAGAGAAATTTTAAATTTCTGTAAGAAAGATATATACATTCTTTTTTATCCTTGATTTTATATTTCCCTTTTAACCGATCTATGTGTAGTTAATTTTAAGTTTTATAATACAGATGTCATTTTAAATAGTGGATTCTCACTTTTAAAGGAAAATGATAGACCTTGATTGAAAGTGGTAAGTATACATATCGATGCATCACTTTAAAAAATATAAAATGTCAAATATCACTTTTAAATAACATATGTACAATATTTTTTTTAGATTCTTTGAGATTCTTTTCTTTTTAATTAAAGAAATAACTGTCTAGTATTTTATTCGTTTTGTGATGTGATCTATGATCAATCGGTTTGAAGCCAAAAATGAAGCTCGACTGAATGATTTGAAAATGATATTGCCGTTTTAATGAAATTAGTAATGTGGTACCGAGACAAAAAAAATCGGATAACACTGATATCATTAGAATACCGGTATCCCAGGTTTCATTTTATATTGTATTATATGGTATTGTCTTCCGAGACAAGGTTGGTCTCTAAAATATATTGCATTTTCTGTATGTACCAAGATATGAGAGACTAATAATCGGAAAGGCGACATCGTTCTGCATTTCAAAATTTATTTTTTTATACTGCTCTTCATGTCGTCCTAAACTGCCATTAACATACTACTTTTATCTCGTTTGTACGACATAGTATCTCGTATAAACGACAAAGCAAAAGTACTTTGAGCTGGTACGCTTCGTAAATGTTTTTCCTTTCTTTAGTTTAAGATATTGTCTCAATACTTAATAATTTCCAAAGAGCCCTCGCAGTTAAAGCCATTAATATAAAAACAAGGTCAATCATTTGTATTTATTGTATTATATCTTCAAATCAATCACAATACCACGTCCACGTATTCAGTTATATTGTTGAGTCAATTAGCATAATTTTTTTTAAAATATCTCTTAGAAGTACTTCTTGTTATTTTACATATGTTTTAGGTCATAAGAAATAATGTCATGCGCATTTTGGGTTGTATACGGAAATTAGTTCATTTGGCTATTTTAGTAAGCCCTAAATTTCATATTTTTATGCAGGTTAGTGGCAGCGATCAAAATAATGATCTTTGCTTTCGACGTCAGTAAGACAAACATTCAGTTTTCGATTTATGCAACCGATCTTTTCTTTTGCAGCGCAATTTAAAAAAAAATCATGTTCATGACTAGAATCTCACATTAATATACGATTTCCAAACAAGCTAGTAATTGTTTTTTAATATCCTATTCCATATTTTCAGATTTTAGTACCTTTTTTTTTATCAAATCAGTTTATATATATATTTTTTTGCTTCTTCCAGAATTGTGAATTTCTATGCCCTTTGATCAAAGATACTAGGTATGGGGGTCTCTAATTATTATATACTGAAAATGAATTAATGTATGGCCCCAGGGTCAGGATTCCTGTCGAGTGGAGCACTACTGATTATATAGTGGAAATGCATTTTTTCTTTGTTAATCTTCTGGTTTACCGGTATCAAGCACTCAGACTAAGTACGCAAACGGGTTCCCTTCAAAGTTTGTAATTGAGTCATCTTCAAAATCTGCACACGAGATGTCACATGAGTATTTTTCTTCCTTGTTTGTTTTCATCAATTAAAATCTCAATGAAAAGATTTATTTCTTAAATTAAATGCGGAAAATTACATGCATATTTATCAGAACTTTTCTCCGTCTTATTTGTAAAGAATATCTTTATTTACTTTTAACAGCCAGGAAATTTATTGTCACAAATCATTTTTCCAAAAGGAAATATTATCAGAGAAATATTAAATTTCTGTAAGAAAGATGCAAATATAAATAAACATCTATTTATCCTTAATTTTATAAATCCTTTTAACGGATCTATGAAAATAAATGTAAATTTTATGAATATTCTCAATACATATTTTATTTCAAAAAGAGGGTGCACTCTTTCGAAGGAAAATCCTGTATACTGAAGTGGTAAGTATACTGTTTCGGAAGAAGTTTTAGCGATACCTAAATTTTGGCATTATTACAGAAGGTTCTGAGATAGCAAAATGGAATATTGCTAAAGATTATTTCCTCTTTATTTGTAATAGCTTCTTTAGTGAGTATTTTAAAATCGCTAAAATTACATCACTCCGGTATAGCAGAAAAGCTCAAAACACTTTATAAAAAAAATATATTAAATAGCTCAAATCCGAAAATTAAAAAGTGGTTATATAATTTTATATGTTTGATTTTAGGAAGAAACACGAATGATACTTAAAATGTTTGAGTAACTGGGAAACCAGTCAAGTGAAGATATTAAAGCTACTGTAAATCATTTTTTATTTGCGAGAAACTTATTTTCGCGTAATTACGAGAGACGGTATGCTCGCGAAAATTTCATTCTCGCGTATAAAAGATTTCCTAAAGATTATATAGAGAAGTGACCACAATTCGTGAAAATTTCGTCTCGCTAATAAAGAGTCAATGACTATCTCGCGAAAATAAGGTGTCGCGAAAATTAAGTGATCTACAGTACTTAGTTGAGTTGATGAATGCCCTTGTAACAAGAATGAAAATATATGGAGATATTCAAGCTCAAAAATCCATTAAATATTTCAAAATTGGAACAGACTAGAGCAATCACGGATCTCCAAACATCAGAGATGGAATCAAGTACCCTGGAAGAGTAAGCATTCCCGGCCGACTGATCACACCCTCCTCCTCATGATCGGAAAATAATGGAGAAATTCGTTTTCAATTTAGTGTGTACTTATAAACAACAGTCTTATAATTAGTATGAAAAAAGTCAGTCTGTATTTGAATTCTAATTTATTGTATTTGCTGACAAGGTCATTGTTTCGATCAAAGAACTTACGAAATGCTGACTTTAAACGAGAGCATGCTCTACCAAATGCTATCAAATCAGCTGGGAGATGTACTAACAATAATCTGTGATGTAAAAAAATGACTTTTACAAAGGCGACAACGATTACAGCGGAATTAAGAAAAATTAAAGTAAAACCAAGAAAATTTGGAATATCTTTTTTCCTTTTGTGTGATGAATAAAACCATTGAACACACACCTTTGAAACTGTAGTTTGAACCAATCAAACACCGTTTAATTTTTCAGAAATAAAAAAAAAATTCTAGGAAGGGTTTCCTTGATGACAGTTTTTTTTTAAAACTGTGTCTCTTAAACTGATCAAATCTCTCTGTTCATTCATTTAAACTGCAATAGCTGAAAGCATGTGGAGAAGAGCCCGACTTTACGCCACTATATTCTGCATTCCAAACGCTCTGCGCGTCGTCCTAAACTGCCATTAAAAAATAAAAAAACCCCAACTTTTTTCAGAAATCGGCAATACTTCTCATACATTAATTTTCAAACTGGAATTTGAATAATGAGAGAGGCGGGATTTATAAAGATGATTTTGTCATAAAATTAAAATTTTTATCAAATTTTGTCTAAAATTCAATAGAAAAATCTTGTATCTAAGCACCGAAGAAAACTTACGAATTCTTTATATTTTAGGGATTTTTTTAAAAGTTTTGAAACTGTATTATTCCATGTTTCAATATTCTATTTCTGTACAGAACCCTCAAACCAGGTATATTAATGTATACGAGGGAAATTGTTCGAAAAAATCGCAGACATCGTCTATCTTATATAATCATTATACTACTTTCAAGAAATTTAAAATTAGCATATTAGCATCAGTAAAAAAATATTAATTTTGGAGATTTGTGAAAGTTCTCTCCATTCGATTTAATAGACATCAATTTACTACAATTTAAAACAAAAAAGTTTGAAAATGTCAAAAATACAGTGCCATGAGTTCAAAATATTCTCCCATTCATTTGCAGTCTGCTTTAATATCGGCTTATTTAAAACTGTATCTATTTATTGAAATAAATGTTGTTAGCATTTGTCACAGTAGTATAATTTTGTTTATCAATGTTTTCTTTTTCAATGCTTAACTATGCTTTCACTCGATCAGCAACCGCGAAACGTCTTTCTCGTTCAAAGACTTTACTAACTCTACGTTTGTGATCAATTTTTTACATGTCCTCACAGATTGTCCTCGTCTGATGCAGTGTTTGTCATTTAAATACCACCTTGATCATTTAAACACACATGAATGACCGGCTTTTGAGATATTTCATGTCTCCTAAAACATTTTCAGATTTCATTCTGATATTTTCTAGATTACAGCGAGAAAACTATACATAAAATACAAAACGATGTAACAATTATTAATTTGAACGTCTAGGTTTATTTTGGTTTTGAGCCATTTTACAAACATTTATAGTGTGTAAAATAATTGTAAATTACAATATTTTGACTTGCTTCACGAACCAAGTTTCGCAGTTTTTATCTCTTGATAAATTTAAAATAAATCAAAATAGTTTTAAAATTGTTAATTTGCAATTTGAATTTGATTTGAATTAGCAATGAAATGTTAAAATATTTCTATCAAATTTGCATATAGTATATCGTTAAATAAAAATGTCCACAAACTTTTCAATAAAAAAGTTTAATAGCATACAGCTAATATTTCGACAATAAAAACTTTTTATAACTTTTCAAACAAATTGCTTAAGATATATTCATTTTTTCCTCAATAAACAGAATGTTTCTTCATTTATGACAACAGTTATGTTTTACAGTCAGACAAAGTTCATTATCTTAAGTAAAAGTGTTTTATTTTATCTCATTGGCAGAGCTCAAGATCATCGGAATCATCATCACAACAACACGTTCCTGATTGTGATTTTTCTTAGTGAAAAAAGATAACTATCATCCATTATAAAGAGGTATATCAATGGCGAAACTCCTAAAATCATTATCAAAACTGACTCAAAGAAGACCTTTAAAGCGCACAAATTCACTTGAAAATTTGTATGTAAAGGAAGAGGAGGGTCCTAAGGTGACTCGTAAACGATCATATTCTTTCGACATTAGCTCAATTCTTATGAACGATGAAAGTAATATTGGACAGAGGAGTAGCGATTTTGTAGAGAAAATTTTAGATTTAAAAAACAAAATTCGTCAAGGTATACAGAGAAAAAAATCAGAAAAAAATCGTTCGCGAGTTTCTGGAGATTTTTTGCAATACATTTGTAAGACATTTTGCACAGAGAAGCCAGAAAAATCTTCGACAAGCAGATTTATAGTAGATAATTTGAAAAGTGCAATTTTAAATACGATCGAAAACAAAGATGACATTGCGCATATATGGGTTGGTCGACAAGACAAAACTTCCCATGATATTGATACAGTAGTAATTGTGACAAGATCTTCAAAATCGTATAACCTAGGTGACAAAATATGGGGACTTAAAATACTTGTACGATGTATCGATACCTGTAGCGACGAAGCAGCAAATCTGCTGATTTATGATACAAATGACTCAATCGGCTCTTTAAGTGGTAAACTTACAGAGTCGGATATAAAATCCCTCTTTCACAGACACAGCAACATTACATTAATTAATACATCTAATGTGTGTTCTATAGGTTATAAAAGTAAAACTAATGCCAAAATAGAGTGGATTCCTTCAATTGTTATCTATTGTCACATAAAAGGAGTGATACCTATCGGAGAAGAAGCATTTCCAAAGAGTATAGGTGGCCATCGAGTAGATGTCCGTGAAGCTGTGTGTAATTTCGCCGTAAAACCAGTTCAACTGAGTGAAAAGATTGGGACAGAAGGTTCCACAAGATTTGGCACATTGGGAGGTTTTGTAACACTGCAAAATCCAGAGCGACAATTGTTTCTAACATGTGCCCATGTACTTTTCCCAATAAATCAGTTGAAAAATGAAAAGCTCAACGAAGATATAAAGGAAAAAGAAATAAATGTAGTTGACAAAGACGGGCATCAACTTGGAAAAGTTCACAAAGCCGTGTTTAAACATGGGCATGAAAGGGACGTTAGCATAGATGCCGCTTTAGTTGAAATTATCGATCAATATCGATATGCACGTAATGGAAAGTTTGCAGTGATCTCCCCAGAGGAAATTTCAAAGACAGGCAAGTTTTTTTTTCAGTTTCACTCTGTTTTTATATAAAAATATATCGAAAAGACTGTTTCGAATTTTCATTTGGTTTTGAATTCATGTATGCATACTTTGTTTTTCACAGGTTTTTCAGAATACAACATGCCACGATTTGATAATGGAGAGATGGAACAAGTCACACAGTCAAACTTTCGACAACAGGCATTAAAAGTTGGAGCTAAATCTGGACTAACAATTGGTTCTTTGAAAATCGGAAATAGTTGTGCAAGGATTCTCTATTACGACATACAAGTAGGAAATTATTTTTCTACAACATTTTATAAACAAATGGAAGTTATACCTCAACTTGATTATTCACAAACGTCCGAATCAAGGGAACCGTTTTTAGATAACGGAGATTCTGGGTCTTTTGTCTATCTTATAGCGCATCCAGAACCAGTAGTTCTTAAGTGTATCGGATTGGCTTTTGCCAAGACTTCTCATGGTACTTGTTTGATGACGCCCATAGACAAAGTGTTTGAAGCACTTGGTCTTCCATTTAACTGTTTATCAAAATTCGCAAAGGAAGATACTCAGAGAGGGAACATTTCCGATATTTTATCTAAACTTGAAGACATTTCAAACAAAATGGCGACAAAAGAGGATTTCAAAAAGATGAATGGAGAAATAAGCAGTATGAAACAGAAATTTTCTTCTACAGAAGCTAGTGTGAAAGTACTTTTGGAAAAAAGTGGTATAGAAATAACTCATCTGTAAATTAAATGAAAAATAGCAAAAAAAGTTAAATCATGAATGTGGATTTCGTGCGTCATCCTTATCCATGATTTTTTTTTGCATTTCCTGCATTTCGATTATTTTGTCATTGAATGTTTATTCTGTGTATATGCGTATACGAACTTTCCACGAAATTACATCCCCACGAACCAATACAATTTTAGAACAAAGGTACATGTACTTGTGGACAGGAACCCTAGTGGGGATACAACGTAAGTAAACCGGAGTGTCATACCTTTCATCCTTATAATGTATAGTGGGTAATTTTTTTGTGGAGCGATTGTTTTGGGGTTTTGACGATTTTTTCATATTGTACACATGATGAATAAATGTAATAAAAATTATTTGTGGAAAAAATGTCCAATAAGCCCAGGGGTTGAATATCGGGGGGATTCCTGTCCACAAGTACCTTTGTTTTAGAATTGTGATTTCATAAATGAAAAGTCGTGTAAAATCTTTTTTTTAATACTTTATACAAGAAGGAGGACATAACTGTGTCAGAAATAAAAAATAAAACAACAAACATTTGATATCGTATCAAATGCACAGGTTTGCCATTCAGTTATCACGATTTTACTTATGAATTATTATTCCTGTATTATAAATTGTTTTTATTTGGCTGATAGTCTGTCGCAACGATAACTTTTTACATCATGCGAAGGGGATTGAAAGCTTACCGGTTAATTTTTGTTAACGGACCTTTATATTATTAAGGGGACTCAAGCATAAACAAATAATGTCGTCTATAGTTTATTGTATATCGTTAAAATTATTAGGAGAAGGGATGGTGTTTCTAATTACCGAGGTTCCTATGGCCATAAAGTATATTTCACAAATATACATGCATGAACAAGTGTGTCTGCTGTTTAAACATTTAACTTTTTTAACCGTTTATACAGGACCGTAAATGATTCTTAAATAATGATATCCGATAATTTATTATATATTTTACTCTCTTTGGGACAAGGGTATATGTTCTTTGAAAGATGCAAGATCTCAAACATGGACGTCGGAATGGACTTTTTTAAACAGACATTCCAAAACAATAAAGAGCTGTTTGGGACTATACAAAGGTAACTGAAGAATCAATAATAGTTGTGAAATACATTCTTAATCATCAGATATCTGGGAAATCTAAAAATACAAGAAATAATTCCCGAAAAGACCGACCAAAACGGCGGCATAACTCGAAGGTTTTTTTTTTACAACGCTTGGATCTCTAGCTTTCTACTTAATCTGTCAAAAAAATTCGTCAAGAAGAGAACTTCAGTTCTGTAGCTAATACTCGTTGTACCTAGTACTTATTCATTTAATTGGAAAATAAACATCTGCATAAAAGCACTCTACAATGCTGTTTGAATATTACATTCAAATAATATGATTAATTTCTTTAAAGGTGCATGGGAACAGATTCGAAGTTGATATTTTATGTATATTATAACGACTTATATATTTTAATAGCATTTTACACAAAAATAAATTAAAAATCTTATTTCATCTAAAGGTTACTGAAACTTTAAATTTTTTGCTGGGTTTGATTGACACATCTTTTCACTCTCACAAATTTTACTTATATTCCTAATTAATACTTAGGAAAAGTGGCAATTTTGTTGTTGTTGTTATAAGATTTTTAGCTTCTCCATTTGTTTGATAAATTTAAAACCAATTCATGTATATTTTGCACAGTCAGAATTTTCAAGAATTAATTAATATATATTTGTTTATTTAAATTCAAAACCATTTAAAGATTCTTTAAAGGTCAAATATCAAGGAAATAGATATGCTTGTATATAATATATGTTGTAAAAAATGGTTAAAAAGAAGAAATTACAATATTCGTTTAATTTTAAACCTCGTTGTTTTCTTTATTAACCTGTTCAAATATCGCTAAAAATAACGTTCATCAATAGAGTTACTTCCCCTTTTTGTGACGTTAATAGAGACACTCGACAAAATCTTGTTACATAAGTATAGTAAAAAGTGCTCTTGATTATCTAAAATTATGGCAAATTTGGAGGAACAGAAATGATGATATATCAGAGTTATGCGTAGATCTGTCTGTTAAGAATAGGCTTTGTATATTTGAGTCAAAAAAGTACGCAAATTGATTATTCGTCTTCGACCGATTCTGTTTCGTCCGAAGCCAGTAAGAGTGAAAGTGGAAATCAAAATACCACAACTGACAAGGGATCATCGCAGAAGCTAACGCATGTACATACATGTATTTAATGCCTTTTACTGAGTGTGCTCAATATTTCCACAAAAAAAATATTTAACTGCGGAAAATTGATTTTATGTGTTGTTTCTTATTCATCATATAGGAGCAGGACTTTTACATAGCAAAAAAGTATAGAATTCTTTTTTTTATATTGTATAACCGTTTGAACCGGACACACGGCGATTTTTTTATGTTAAGTATACTATAATGAACAATGAACGGAACAACAGAAATTACGTCATCGTTGGATATATATCATCCGTGGGAATCCGAAGATGTAGCTATCACAGGTACTTGGACCCCCCCCCCCCCCTCGGTTGTTCCGTACCCCAGTGGGTTTATTTACTTTAAAATAATATTTTCCACTGGTCAAATTAAAATTGTAGGTATCTGAGTTTGAAAAAATGCCCCCTTTGAACATCTCCCATACCTATCGAAAGGAAACTCCTTGTCTACCCATACTTTGCACCTCAGGTTAAATATGTGACTTAATTCACACATTAGCCTACACATTATCAGAAAGTAATATACGCCACTGGTCCCTAAGCACATGTGGTAACTAAACATTTGTCTGGAACCCTTTTTAATTTATGCGTAACAAGTAATTTTTATCCCCCCCGAAGTTACATTTCTTTGTTGTCCCCCTGATTGGATATTAATTGCTTCATACAGGCCTGAAAATCTTTGTCACATAGCGCTTTCATTCTAAAAATATTTTAATATGAATTATTCACCCTAATTTAGTTTAGAAAAAAGAAAACAAAACAATATTGAGTATACATTCTGATTTCATATGCTCTTGTGGAAAGTTAGTCATCACGTTTATCACAGAGCTTACATGTTAAATTACCATTAACGTATTTTTTCAAGTAAAATATCCAAGTATGAAACAGATGTGTCAGACTCTGTGGTATCTCTTTATGTTATACACATGCATATGCATTACACTTGTAACCTGCTTTAGAAATAAAAAAATGTCTATATAAATTTTATTATTTGTTTTCCTTTTAATAAAGTATCTATTCTTCTGATACGTTGCAATAAAAATAAATTTAATTATTATTTTTCGCTATTGTTGCCATTTCTCTTATTTAAATCAAACTAGATCACATGAGCAAGTACGATAGAAATCGATTTATTTCATTGCTTATAAAACAACAACATGCAGGTTACACGTAGATCGTGTGACTATCATGATTTTATAGATATGAACATTGATGAACTGGAGAAAAATCACCTTCTATGGTCAGGTGAAAATTGCCCAATTTTTGTGAAGAATGTAGGATTGAAGACAATAAAGAAATTCAGGTAAGAACATGAACCTATAGAATCCGACACTGTACACTGTCAATTACACTTCAAACTATTATGATGAGAAAACCGTTACGTTCTTTTTGATGCGTAATACATGTACGTATGTTGAGATCATGCCAAGTATGTCATCAGTAGCATTAAAGTCATGTGCTTATCCACTCAACTACGCCAAGCATAATATATTGGCAAATTTTGATTGTAGGAATAGAAAATAAAACGCAACTAAATCGTCTGGGACATTTTAAATGATACATATAACTGATATTGGGACTGTAATTCTAGATTCAAACAGTAGACTTGTTACATGTATCATGTTGTTAATCGTCAGGTAGTAGACTAGATTTTATTATGTCAATTTCGCATATGTCTACACCAAGTATACTATATTTTATGGCTATGATTTTTGTAAATTACTAAAATCCAGATAAGAAATTATCAAATTTATCAGGTCACCTGAGGCATAAGGGTAACAATATGTTTAGGTATGTTGTCGTTCAATGTGCTATGGATAGACGGACAGACAACCAGACAGACAGAAGCTTTATAAAATGATCCTACGTGTCGCTCTGATCAAACAAAACAAAGTTGACAACAAAATCTCACGAGTTTCTCGTATTTTTAAGTGTTTGTCAATTTCAGGAAGTGCACACTAGAAATCACTTAAAATTTTGTGTCTCCTTGTACAGTTGTTGTATTTTTTTCATAAAGTTAAAACTAATGGACAAGATTGGAAGGTAATGTAAGCAGATATAATTATACTTAGAGAAAGCTAAAAATTTTTATTACAGATTTGTTTTTGTTAAAAGATCATTTCAAATTTTCAAAGCTAAGGAAAGCTATAAATTACAAAAAAAACCTTTTTTTTCTTATGACTGTAGGGGCTTGTGAAAACAAATTAAGTAATATACACGTAATGAACACTTGTATATCTCATTTTTGAAAATTTTTAAGATAACTAAATGCATCAATTTTTAAATTTCTTAACAAAAAAGACTTGTAAGCAGTTCCTAAAGTTCTTTTAAAGTTCTTATTGGAGAGGACTTATATAGGCCATGCCTGATGTCCAATCCAATTATGTAATCTAACATAACAAAATACTGATTAAAAAAAAAGTTCTTTTTATATACAATCATACACTGTACCGTCGTAAAACGGACCTTGTATGTGATTGTTACAGAACTAGAGTGTTCCAAGGAACACATGTGTCGCTTGCTATTAGCTTCATTGAAGATTTAACTAAATCTAAAAGTGGTCATCGGTTATCTCCTTCTACATAATAAAGCATTAAGTTCATGCAACAAATAAAAATTTTTAGTAAAAGACTGCGATAGAATCTGACAATCAAATAGAAATACAAAACCTCACCCTCAAAGCTAAAACTGATACAGTTAAACTTCGTAATCTCGACTCTGAATGGGCTGAGAAAAACATTGTGATATCCGAGGATTCGAGATATCCAGGGTCAAATACTGAAAGAAAATGTGGTTGGGACTTCCAAATCACTTTGACATACCCATGATATTCGAGATATCGGAGTTCGAGATACCGAAGTTCAACTGTACAGTTAGTAAAGTTTAAATCATTTTAAATAATTATTTATCAATTAATTAATTAATCAATCAATCAACCCTTCAAATGGGACTTTAATCTGTCTCTATTGCAATTGTCAATGACTCTGCACCATCCATAATTGAATACTTTCCCGATCTATTTTCATAGTACTTGAAATTCAGTTTTTGTGGCTCTTGTGTTTCACACAATGTCAATACTTTGTCATGAACATGTATACAATACTAAGTATCAAATCATTGCCTCTCTAAATTCAAAAGACATAAGTTGAATTTTACACTCTACACTTTATTTTGCAAAGTTGTTAAAAGGTCAATGTAAAGTGTGCTGTAACGCAAGTATTTTTCTTAAAAAACTGTTTTAACAAAAAGTGCACATGCTTAATACCCTAGACTAACCTCTTAAATGTAAAAAAAGAATTTGTATATCACTGTCAACTATTAAAAATTATGTCAAAGGTCAAGTTCAAGTATAACTACTTCGGTTACCATAGTAAAATACAAAATTCATAGTGTCAACATATAAATATGCAAAATATAAAATTCATACTTCTTACAGTTCTCGCGAGATAAGAAGTCATAGACTAATGGACGGACAGACAATCAGACAGAGCGTAAAATCGCTATGCTCTTTAGGCGACAGAACAAAATAGACATCAAAATTCCACGAGTTTCCTGACTTTTTAAGTGTCAGTTTGAGGAAGTGTACATGAGAAATCACTTGAAAAATTTCCTTGAACCTCCTTCTACAGTTTTGGTTATATTAAAGTATTTTCATAAAGTTAAAACTGAGGAACAAGACTGAAAGGTAATGTTATAGATGTAATCATATTTACAGAAAGCTTTTATTACATTTTTTTTTGGCAGAAGGTAATTATAAGTTTTCAAAGTTGAAGAAAGCTAACGTTTCTTCAAAATAAAGGCTAAGCATATAAATAAAAATTACGCAAATCTTTGAAATATATTAATAATAGTATTTAAAATGTATGTTATCCATATGAAAATGAATTAACATTTGAATAATTGAATTTTATTTGTATCACGTCATTTAATTGGGTAAAGATTTAATCCATTTTGTATAACATAAGTTGCCGACATCACAATGAGTTACGTCAAAAACGTCTTACTCCGCTTGACGTTACATTTAAATTATACTCAGTTTGAAGGCCATGTCCCAAGTTATGTTATATCGTGTAACAAAAGTTGAAATAAGCTTCATTCCTTAATTATAGATCGATTAAAAAGGAGAATAGCAGCAAATGGAATCCAACATTAAAAGGGTAATTTAAATGGGAATTCTTTTCGTTTTCTGCTGGGTTTTTCTTCTGGATGTTGCAACCTGACATCTATCTTTTTTTATCAGTTTTCTGAATCTGACCAGTGAGTGTAAGCTTTGCTTAATCTTATCAAGTGTCTTTGTCAACCCTAAGCAAGCTTAAGTTTTTGTATTATGCATCTGCCCTTAAATGTCATTTTTAGGATCGTAGGCCACTATCTGTTATGGTGATTTTATCACTATTTTCGGTTTTCCACATTCTACACTTACTATGAATCTACTCTACTGAGCCCAAAGTGACTTCACAATTATAAACTTCCGATGATGACATATCACTGAACACTGGTATAGACGCTTGTCATTCTGTGACTAAGACCTTACCAGTCTCATATCCTTACTTTCTTCCTGCAAAGTAATCCAGTCAGTTAAAATTTTTGCTTGCTCTTTGATCTCAATCGCTCTTGCATGTTTTGCAAACATATCCATATTTTCATAGTCATGAAAGTTCTTATATTTGATACAAGGTACACTGTCGAGTCCATCTGCATTTCCATGCAGTTTACAAACTCTGGACCCCTTTCTCTCTTTCTGCATGTCATAAGTTTATATAAAGTCGAGACGATGAGCCAACTGTCTCTCTGGATCTTAAAATATATAAGCACTTAAGTGAGAAAAATCTATATTATAAAAATGTCTGAAATATTGAATAAATGTATTTTGTAACGACAGCCAGAAGCCATTCCGGGTAACACAATATATCCTTTCTGACTTGCTGAGTACTTTGCAACAACACTCTTTCGACCGTTTTGAATCAGTGGCACAGTGACATATAATGACTTGCATCTGTGTCAATATCTAGTATAAAAGGTTTAGGAAAGCCTGGGTGGGTAACAAAGCTACAAAAGTCATTCGACTCTTAAAGAGATTAAATACGACCTGACACTCATTACGCCATCTTCCTAGAACACAGGCCTCCGTAAATTATTGTATATGTAATAATTGACTAGTATGAATTTTGAATCTGATTGGCTATAAACTTTCTGCTTGACAGACCATCAAAAACTCAGACTAACTTGTAGTTCTCATTTGCCTACGCATGCCAATGTGTTACAGTCTCAGTCTTTTCAAGATTGGGTCTGAGTCTTCTATTCAAATGTATATGTCCTAGAAAAGTCTTTTAAAATGAATGAAAGACAGTGGATTGACTTCCTTCAGACACACGTATCTACTGTTCATTGTAAACCTTTGCTAAGGCAAAAAATATGACCGCAAGGGTTTAATTTGTACTGGAAGTGGGAAATGAAAGCATATCGACTGGACAGAACGTTAAATGTCCAGTAATGTTTGAAGTTTCTTAAAACGCCAAAAATAATTCACAAAGAGTACAAAATATTGTGCAAGCGTTTGAACCATGATCAAGTACCGATCTGAAGATCATGTTTGCATACCATGATACATTTTTTCATGAATTTATGTACACTGAAATATCTTGTGTAACAATCTTAATATAATGGTATATATAGAATTAGATAAAAAATATTGCATTGTGTCTAAGTTCATGGTTCCTCCCTTAAAATAAAACATACAAATAAGCAAACAAAAAAATCTGAAACAAATAATGAAAAGGAGAAGTCTATTTCGGATGCTCTGAGAATTTAAATGTATTAATATGTAAACCTATATTTAATAATTGTTTTTATGATATACTTGTAATTACTTTTGATTGAATCTAATACATTTCTATACATAGAATTAATGTATTATGTTAAAAATATTGTTTGAAAAAAATTGTTTAAGGCTATTGGTTAAAAAAATATATGCTATATCCATGAATTTTATTTGTAGATTAATGAAACTTCCGAAGTTTAGGATTTCACCTGAACAGCAGCATAATACACAGGTCAAAAATTGCCATATAGTTCAAGAATATTCTGGGGTAATAAATTTTCTAATAGCTCATACAGAGGATAATTTTCACAATAAATCATATTTTCTTTCAATGTTTTTATTTCAATTCAAATTTCTTTTTGTTGTCATCACTACCCGTCAAACAAAATTAAATTTATCAACAAACATGTCAAAGGTAACAAAAAATTTCAGCGTATGTTAAGTTTTTTTTTTTCAATGACAGAACACCATATTTTTGGATACGTTCCCATAATCAGAGGCGCAGGGAAGTGGATATTCTGAGAAATAAAAATAATCATTATCATCTTTTCAAAAGGGATATTCATGGATATATTACGTAGATTTGTGTCAAATCTGCAGCCAAGAAAACATTTACAACGCACAAACTCCCTAGACAGTTTTCACGAAGAGAAAATAGTTGATCGTTACAAGACTTTTAATCGACCGCATTCATTAGACGAGAGTCCCATTCACGGTACAAATCTCAGAAAAGATGAAAGCGATTTCAGGCAACAGAGAAGTGACTGGAAAAAGGGGATTTTAGAGAATGTTGCAAAAATAATTCGACAAGGTATTCGTGAAGGAGATAGAATTAAAATAGAAAAATCATTGTTATATGCGACTGGAGAGGAAATGAGACGTATTTGTAAGAAATTTTGCACAGAGAATCCTGAGAAATGTTTGGCTAGCAGTGTCATTATAGACAAATTGAAAAGTGCAATTTTAAAAAGTATCGAAAACAAAAGTGATATTATGCATATATGGGTAGGTCGACAAAACCAAACATCCCGAGAAATTGATACAGTAGTACTCGTGACAAGAACTTCAAAATCATTTAACCTAGGCGATGAAATATGGGGACTTAAAATAATAGTGCGAGTTTTCGATACCTGTAACGATGAAGCATCAGACTTGTTGATTCATGACATAAATGATTCTATAGGCTCTTTAAGTGTCAAACTTACAGATTTCGATATAAGTTCCCTTTTTAGCAAACATAGCAATATAACATTGATAAATACATCTAATGTGTGTTCTGTTGGTTACAAAAGTAATGCCAGAATAGAAAGGATTCCTTCGATAGTTATCCATTGCCACATCAAAGGAGTGATACCAATTGGAGAGGATGCTTTTCCAAGGAGAATCGGTGGTCATCGAGTAGACGTTCGTGAAGCTGTGTGTAACTTCGCGGTAAATCCGGCTAAAATAAGTGAAAGGATAGGAACCGAGGGTTCTGTAAGGACTGGAACTCTTGGTGGTTTTGTAACATTGCAAAATCCAGAGAGACAGGCCTTCCTTACGTGTGCACATGTCGTTTTACCAGTTGATGTGCTGAAGAATGATGAAACCCCTGAGTATGCAAGGAGACGAGAGATAAATGTTGTAGATAGAAGCGGAATGCAGTTTGGAAAAGTTCAGGAAGCTGAATTTAAACATGGACAAGCACGCGAAGTTAGCATAGATGCTGCTTTAGTTGAAATTACTGATCAGTATCGATATCCGTGTGATGGAAACTTTGCACCAGTGTTCACTTCCGAACAAATAATGGAGACAGGCAAGTGCTGTAAATATCAAATAAATTATCATAGAAATTCAGTTATACATTACAAAATTTTATCACATATTTATCAATGTGATCATAATACATATTAAAATTTATTTGATATTGATCAACTATGGCGTCACAATAAATATGAGAAATCTTACAAAAATATTAAATGTATATATATCATGTAAAGATGTAAATGTATATTTACATATGTATGTTTAGTCACCCTTGGTTTGTGATTGTGCATATTTTTTATCCATATTTGCCCCCCCCCCCCACACACACACTAACTTAACGCATCAATTTTTTTTCATAGGGTTTTCTGAAAACAATATGCCACAGTTTGAAAATGGGGAAATGGAACAAATCAAGAAATTTAATTTTCGAAAACCAGTGTTAAAAATTGGAGCCAAAAGTGGATTAACAATTGGTTATCTGAAAATCGGAAGGAGTTGTGCAAGAATACATGATTATGAAGTAGAAGTAGGGAACAATTTTTCTACAACGCTTTACAAGCAAATGGAAGTTATTCCACAATTCGATCTTTCTCAAACGTCCGATTCAAGGGAACCGTTTTTAGATTACGGAGATTCTGGGTCGTTTGTTTATTTTATATCACAAGAAAACCCCGTAGTCCTCAAATGTATAGGATTAGCCGTCGCGAAAACGTCCCATGGAACTTGTTTGATGACACCCATAGACAAAGTGTTTGAAGCACTTGATCTTCCATTTAATTGTTTGTCAAAATTCAGTAAGAAAGAGGCTCCGATAGAAAGGGTTTCCGATTTGTCATCTAAACTCGATTACATTTTAACGAAAATGGCAACAAAAGACGACATCCAAAAGATAGAAGGGGAAATTAGCACCATGAAGGAGAGGTTTTCTGCTACAGAGTCTAATGTGAAGATACTTTTACAGAGAAATGAGGAGGAAACAACTCCTAAGGAAAAGTGAATGTTGCTTTAGTTTGTGAATATAATTTTGTAAATAGTTCAATGCATTATAATTGCGTGCATTTTTGAAACTGATAATCTTTTGCCATCATACGTGTAACTCTTTTAGGTGCGATACATATGACATGTACCTAACATTTAACATTTCGTTTAAATTTACCATGCACATCTACAAATGCCCCAGCTAACTTTTGAAATGAAGTTTTTGAAAACATTCTTATTTCTCTCCAAAATTATTTGTTCAACAATCATGAATAAAAGTACTCGCTATAACTCAGTTTCAATAAAGAATTAAAACAACTTTAAGATATTTATTTTTAGAATTATTATCCCCTTACAACGAATTTGAAGGTATTCATTTTCATAATTATTATTCCCTCATAGCGGAATTGGAGATATTCATTTTTATAATTATTATACCCTCACAATGGAGTTAAAGGGGATAAAGTAATGCAATCGTGTATTTGGGTGTGTGGGTGATTTAATAATGTGCGAAACGGAATTGTCGTAATTTGCATCGGAATCGATGTCAATTGCTGATGTGGTTTTTGTGATGGTATGTCCCGCTTTGCAGTGCTCCTGTCACAATAAGTATTCCATATTCTTGTCATATTTTCAGTTTCTTCAGGTTTTGTCTTCTATGCATTTGAAACTAATTCATATAATCTTCACACAGGGACAATTTCCTGGAGTTTATCAAAAAAGTTTTCTTACCAAATTTTTTCTAATATTTAAAACCATTCAAGTAATATTAAATTTTATACCTGTTATACAGTTATTGACTTGGTATGAGGACCTGAAAATAGAAATATCCAAGGCCAAAAGGCATTGTTTTTACTCCAACAAATCCAACAAAGGTCCAATAAATCAGATGCAACAAATCATATGTTGCCCGAATCCTAGTTTATAACTGTTTTGATATACAATTCATTTCAGGTAAAACACTAAAACGAAAATAATATTACATGTATTAATTACTTTATATGGTACATTTTGGCTGGTACATTAAGAATAAAGCAATAGCAGAGAATGTAAAAATCAATAATAGGATAATTGTATCACAAAAATTATTTATCACAAAACATACTATTCCAGTGTCTGTGTGATTTTACTTTGCACTTGATAGTGCCGAGTGCATAAAAAAGGAACAGTCACACCCCATTTTTAATCAGTCGCAGACGTAATTCAAACACACGGCCTCTGAAAAGATCACATTACCGATTATGCTACCGTGACTTCTTAGAGAAACAAACATTCAATATAAATAGATACGTTTTGTTCACTTTCAAGTAAGATTTCTATTCTTCAAATGGGTCGCAATCAAAACAAAATATTAAAAAATATTAAAAAATCATCCTGTATTATTCATAGTATTTAAATTTCACGGTATTGAAATATATCGACTCCCTCCTACTTATTCAATGTTAAAATACTATACAACTTTATTCTGGAGCTAACCTGTTTAACGATAAATAGACATAAGTCAAGAGTTTATATTGTGGAGGAAAATTAATACATAGCCAATGAAGATCAGTTAGAATAGGAATAATGTGCCCCAGAAAGAACTGTGACAAAATACAACGATAATTGCAAAACAATTGAATTTACAATACTTGTGGATTCTTCAATTTCATATTTTTATTATCCCCTCGCAACGGAATTTGAGGAGAAAATAACGCGATTATGCGTGTGTGTTAGTATGTGTGTAGTTTAGTATGGTCTGTTTGTAACAGAAGTGACACAATTTGGATCGGGACCTATGTCAAATGCTGCCTTGATTGATAGATATGCTCCTCGCGGAGGGATGCTCCGCTTTGCGGTACTCTTGTTGTTATTGAAAGAAAATAAATGCAAAAGGGAATCAGAAGAGCCCTTAATTTGATCTGTAATTAATGACAAGTAATCATGTAGTATCGTTGAAACATAGTTTTTTCTTTTATTGAAATACTTAATGCAGAAAGCACGCAAACAAACTACATGTACTTATAACCAGGTATGTGCTACGTACTAATCACTCAATCATCATGTTTTTACAGTAAAAGTTTTTTGTGAACTCAGTTATAATAAAATCTATGGTATTAGGAAGTTTCTTTAGGAATGTCAACTCTTCCTTTTGATTCTTATAACTGAAGCTTATATTGTGAAATCACATATTTTCGAGGATCAAATTGTCATGGTTTCAGGAAAAAATAAAGGTTAATGGGTTTAATTTCGTGGATGAAAAATTGTTGAGTAGTTCCATCTGTGAAAAATTATATTTCGTGGTGGATATATATTCGTGGGTTTCTCCGTGCCTCAAAAACCACAAAAATTAAACGAAAATTAATGATTTTACAGTAGAATATCCGTTATTAAGAAATAAATTCAATTAATGTCCCAGTGACGTTTTTTATATCTGAGTTTTAGTGTAAGTCATGTTTATTCACTAATCTATTTAACATAGGAAGAAAAATAATTTCGTTTGATGCATCTCGGCATATTAATTATCGGTATAACATTTGTTGTTTCATCAATCAGTACTAATCAATCGGGATTTATTCCTTAGTTTTCGAAAACCAGTTTTAAACTCTGAGCCAAAAGTGGATTAACGACTGGCTCTCTGAAAATTGGAAGGGGTTGTAGAAGAAAACATGATTACCACATCGACGTACAGATTGCGAACAATTTGCAAACAAATAAAAGTAATTTGTCACTATGATCTGTCCAAGCATCCGATTCTAGGGATCCATTTCTACATAAAGAAGATTCTGAATCTTTTGTTTATTTCATATCTCAAAACATCTTGTAGTTTTTATGTGTATACGATTAGTCTTTGCTAAAAAGTCTTTTAATGCATTGTGTATTTGATGACACCTAAGGACAAAAATGTTTGAAGCATTGTCCCCCCCCCCCATTTAATTGCTTTTGAAAATTTAAAAGGGACTCAGGGAGAGAGGATTTCCGATATGTCATCTTAACTTGATAACATTTTAAAGAAAATGGCAACAAACGAGATGAAGATAAGAGTGCCATCAGATGTTCATAGACAAAAAATCAGCATGTGTTACCAGGCTTGTTTGAAAGATATGAATTGATGAAGTTCTTGGGTGATTCTAAGAAAAATAGATAAAATATATGTTTCTTTGATAAAAAATTACTCACAAAAAGTGAACAATACCTTATTTAGACATTAAAAAAAGCACACGGTTCATTCGAGAATTGGAACTTTTCAAGTCCATGGAAAAAGACAAAAAAGTTCAAACTACGTTGCGTATGTCCTTACGCCTTATTAAGGTTTTACTTAATATGAGTTAGTAAATTAAACGCTATAAATTGAAAGATAATTGACTGTTTATTGAGGAATAAAGGGAAAATTAATGTATAGCAATGAAATTCTTGAATTTAAGTGGTATATTTTTTTATTAGCAAAGAGGAAACGCTGCTTTAGGTAATTGTCCCCCGCTTGAAAAGTGTGGGATATTATTTTGGGTCTGTCCGTCCGTCATTCTGTCTGTCTGTAATGCTTTTGCAATGAAATTTTGCATAGCAACTCCCTATGGAATAAAGAAGAACCCTTTTGATTTGGGGGTCAAAAGGTCAAAGGTCAAGGTCATACATTCGCAAATTCTCTCTGTTATTATACTTTCGTTTCCGCGCGATATCTCGAGAACCCTGTGAGCTTTTGCAATGAAATTTTACAGAACAAATCCCTGTGGCTTAAGGAAGACCCCTATTGATTTTTAGGTCAAAAGGTCAAAGTTCGAGGTCATAAATATATACATTCTGTTTGTGTGTAACACTATCGTTTTCGGACGATATTTAAAGAGGATTTTGAGCTTTGCAATGTAACATATACCAAAAGTCCCTAGGACCTCTCTCACCCCTCTCAAAGTGTCCCGCCCCGTTTGTTTTATTAGTATTTATTGTATTACATGTCGCTATTTTTAGCACAGGGGCATGAAGGAGAATTATTACGTAGAAAACAGGTTCTCGGCGGACTTTATATTCTTATTACATCTATTAGAACTGTTGAAGGTTAAATTAGACATCATGCATTGTGTAAAATTTTGACAATATCGAACGTGAATATATAGATGTACATGTATGTGTCTTCATCTTTGCATATTATTTTCGTTAAAGTACAGCAGTTCCGTGGTGTAGTGGTATGTCTCCCGCTTCATATGTGAGAGGTCCCGGATTCGATTCCAGGACGATCCTTTTTTTTGAAATACTATTTTTGTTTTACTAAATGATAGTATTCAGCTTGTGAATTGAAAAATTTATGAGGTCCAGCTTGTACAAACTCATAAAATCATCATTGCAGTGAGATAAATATTCCATATAAAAAGAACCTTCTATACACATAATTAAGAATAAGCAATCAAATCTTTATATCCATATTGACATATTTTATTTGCTTCAGTATACATGTATACATTGAATAATTCTACAAATTCAGTCAGGGAGATCCGAACCCCCCCCCCCCCCCCCACGAACTGCGCATGGTTTACTTTTTCCCTAAGCGGGGGACACACATTCTCTGAATTAGCTTGTTTGTATAGTTATAATCCATGCGCCGTAAAACAAAACAACAAATGACATAAAATCTCATATTTTTTTTATTTATGCATATATGTCTATTTGAAATCTGCTTCGTTTATTGAGTAGTAGTTTTTTTTTTAGAACGCAGTGATGATTATTTTTCAATCTAGACAACTAGTCCATTATTGTACCGTACAACCCTCGTATTTATAAGCTGGTTTCCGTTCCATGAGTGCATACGTAAATAAATTTAAGAATGTTCTTCCTAGAATTTCTCTAATATTTTCATATAGTTTATTAATCAAGCGCCAAAACGAAAGTAGACGTAAGTAATAAATATATTTTGAAAATATTTGCAAATTTACTAAATATATAAACTTTATTTATGCATAGTTTAGGGAATCAATTATATTATTTCTGATGTATTTACTAGTCAGATAAAAAAAAGGTAGATGAGGTACAAAAAGATACTTTTGCATCTGCCACTATTCAAAGAAGATGGTGGGGGCAGTAGCAAATAATTTTTATTGTTATATATCAACATATCAACATAGCTATATCGATATAAATAATTCTCTTGTTTTAATCAATATTTAATTCTTACATTATGTTCTGATTATGTGTATAAATAAGAATTTTCAAAACGTCATATCTTGATAAGACAATACAAACAATACAATGAAAATGTTATATTGCAACAGGTGTAGACTCTGACACTTACGTACATTTTAAATTTTGGCTCTGGAAATTTTTTTGTAGGTCCTCTTAAATGGATTACAATTTCAGATGAATATAATCATAAGATGTTAGAAGAGGATGATAATATGGAAAAATCAAACACTCTTCGTGTACCACAGGTTACTATATATGCATGAATACCTTATTTAATTCAGTCTTGATGAAATAATTGTGTTCAAAGCAGTATAGGAGTTGCAAAACGCATTAAAGATAACTGACGCAATATGCATCTTGGTAAATGACGTCATTGGTTTAATTTTTATACATCAAGGTAGAATAAGTCATCATTGATTTAATATAAATTTTATTCATAGATACCGATAAGCAGATTATCATCCAATTCCTCACATTCAGCTGAAAGTGGTTTTGGAGGATCAAATTCGGATTTAAGTCTTTCAGGATTCCAAACAGAAAACAAATACTCGCGGAGACATTCGTTCAGTGTTACAGGATTTACTAATGCTTTTAGTTTTCCTGAAAACGTCCTCTCTGAAACAATAATGAAGCGATCACCTTCAATGATAGACATGATGAATTTTGAGGAAAATATAAAAATATTTAAAGAAGATAGTACAATTCCTGAAAAGGAAATTTCAATTGAATATCTCAGGAAAATTATTGAACAAGGAATCCAACGTAAAAACAAACGGTTAATAGAAACCGCTCTGTCTTTAGCATCAGACAATAATATGAAAATTATTTGTAGGGAGTTTTGCAAAAAGAAACCACAGGTTTGCTTTGTAAGCCACACTATAATGAAAAAAATTAAACATAGAGTCATAACAGAATTCAGAAATAAATGTGAGATCTTAAGTGTATGGATCGGTCGAAATGTCAAAAAAGCATCTGGAATTGACACAATAGTACTTGTGACAAAAGCTCCTAAACCTTGTGTCATGAGCAACTACTTCTGGGGCCTTTATTTAAAGATTCGATGTGCCAGTGAATGCAGCACTGAAGCATCACATCTGCTTGTTCATGATATGAATGATTTGAATGGCTCACTTGGGATTCAAATCAAAGATATTGAAATAAATAAACTCCTCATTTGCCATAGCAACATCACTTTGATAAAAACATCTAACGTGTGTTCGATTGGCTTTAAAAGAAAAACACATCGAATAGAGTGGGTTCCTTCGATAGTTATCTACTGCCACGTTAAAGGTGTGATTCCCATAGGAGAAAATGCATTTCCGACAAGAATAGGTGGTCATCGAGTAGATGTCCGCGAGGCAGTCTGTGAATTTTCGGGTCAACCAGCTCAGATTAGTGAACAGATAGGAAGTGAGGACATGAAAACAACTGGCACATTGGGTGGTTTTGTGACCCTACAAAATCCAAACCGACATGCCTTTCTTACTTGTGCTCATGTTGTTTTACCCAGTGATGTTCTGAAGAAAGGAAGAGCTATTGAATACACAAAAAGAAGAGATATCAAAGTTTTAACTAAAAACGCCTGACAAATCGGAAATGTTACTAAAGCTATATTCAGTTATGGACGTACAAAGGAAGTCAGCGTTGATGCTGCTTTGGTTGAGATAAAACAGGATAGACTGCCAACCGATGGGAAATTTGCAAATGTTTATCATACTGAGCAATTCATCAAAGCAGGTATGTATTAAATGTATCATTTTAAAACTATGATTAATGATTATTGAAAGAAAATAGTTTAATAACAGTTATCTTTTATGTAGATTTGTGGGACCTAATTTTTCGCAAAATGTTAAAAAATGTGTGCTATCTGAATGATCTCGTGTGTGCCAAGACATACCCACTTTACTTGATGATAAATGCTATTACAAAAACTTTGACTCTACAAAATTTAAACATCATATACGTATACAGTTCACCGTTCATATATGTATGTACGAAAGCCCAGAAGGCTCATTCGAGATTCAATTTTCGAAATAAGAGATTCGAAATTCGAGATCCGAAATTCGAGTTTCGAAATTCAAGATCCAAACTAACCAATCAAAAGCGGGTTCAACTTTTAATTATTTCCCTTTCTTACGTTTTTACTATCAAGAAATCGTTGAATATATTTATAAGAAATGGATCATTTGCTATAATGATAATGCAAGAAAAAATGTTTTGTGTATTAAAACGAAATAAAAATGAATTTTGATTACATTTTGAAAAATACATATATAATCTTATTTTTCTAATTCAACAAAATAGTAAATACGTATATCTGAAATATTATATGGTCTTATCGTTGACTTGCGGGACAAGTAGGTCAACTAATTTTATTTCATCAGATCATTATTGATGGAGAATGTTGCAGTTGATTATAATTAGATATGAAATATTATGGATCGTATCATAGAAGGGTATATATTTCATTACATTTATAAAGGGTACATTTGTGCAGTGAGACTAGCTTGACTGCTGAATCGAACTGTAGCGTTATATAAGGTTTTATAAGAGTATATTGTAGTCTTTGGCCATAAAGCTATGGTCAGAGACTAAAATATAACACCATAACACTATATAGTTCTGCATCTAATTTAGACTCATCTACTATTTGATATAAGATAAAATAAATGCCGCATTTATTTTTAATTTATATTGCCAAGCTGTATTGTAGATATAATTTTTAATTAATTCAAGAAATCAAAGCCTTAGATGAAGATAAGTAATTAAATACTTAATTTTTATGTATTTCCTCTATCAGGAAAACGAAAGCGATTTTTGTTTATCAATACTACGTCGTCTTTCAAGATTCAAGCCTTTCAGTGTGTTTGGAGAAAAGGGCAGGTGGGGTGGGTAAGGGTAGGGTTATTGTTAATCTGTAGACACTTGACACGTATTCATAACTTTATTTATATGCATCAACCCCATAAACAAAGTAGACAATACAAATATATATATACTCCTGATATATGTATTCTATTTAATATTTAAGAAGCCAAAATATAAATTGAAGTATATCTTGCTGATCAGAAATCCAATGATTATTTAAATTTCCTTCTAATATATATAACACTCTTTCTTGCATTGTAATTTAATTAAATGACTTATTTGTTATTTATATATTAAACGATTTCTTGATAGTAAAATCATAATAAAGGGGAGTAATCAAATCTTGAACCCGCTTTTGATTGGTTAATTTGGATCTTGAATCTCGAAAATCGAATTTCGAATCTCGTATCTCGAACCTTGAATCTCGAATGAGCCTTTTGGGAGCTTTTGATTGGTTAATCTGGATCTTGAATCTTGAAACTCGAATTTTGAATCTCGAATTTTGAATCTCGTATTTCGAACCTTGAATCTCGAATGATCCTTCTGGGCTTCCGTATGTATATTAGCAAGATTCATTCAAAAACTTCTACACGGACAGAACCTCTTGTCTTAGCCTTGGATTTAACATTCAGTTATTCATATGTAGAAGAGTTTAATTTATTTTAAACAATATTCATTTTCATTCCTACATTGATTCGATATACCAGTATCCTACTATCATGCATGTTCATCACAAGGAGCACAACACTAATCAGTAAGATTGAAAATATATACTTTTCAATAGCACCTGCTCCCACCTCATTTTCAGAGGTATATGGTGGCTGTGCTCATACATCAGTAATTTGTATGGTTTAAACTTTTAAGAATGAATAATACTTAGCATTCCTTATATTTGCATTTCAGTAAAATATATTAAGAAGTATTGCTTCTAGTTGAGGATACATTGAAAGTTTCACCTTTCGAAAATCATTGTCATCCTGCACCACGGTTTAAATTCGCTTTCATGGATTAATTTTTCTCTTTTTCTTCCACTTCATGCACTATTCATATAATACAATCATTCATTTAATAGGCCTAGTTTTACTGAATTTCAGCATTTACCAATTCGCAAAAGGGGAAATAGAGCGTCGACAAACTGTGCCGCGGTACACATTCGCTTTCTTTTTTGTAAAATTTCTCATTTTCTTCCACTACATGCAATATTAATATAATACGATTATTTATTCAACAGGTTTTTCTGAATGCAACATTCCACAATTCGCGAAAGGGGAAATTGAGCAAGTAAAACCACTTAATTTTCGAAAGCCTGTTTTAAAGATTGGTGCAAAAAGTGGGATGACAATCGGATCATTAAAAATTGGAAATTGTTGTGCAAATGTGAGTCATTATGACGTACATTACGATGTACATACAACAAATAATATGGCGGATTCTATAACACTATGTAAACAAATGGAAGTCCTTCCCCATTTCGATCCATCACAAACGTCTGATTCCTGGGATTCATTTCTAGATTATGGGGATTCTGGATCGTTTGTCTTTTTTATATCGCAAGAAGACCCCTTAATTTTGAAATGTATTGGGTAAGCAGTTGCCAAGACATCGTATGGATCCTGTTTGATGACACCTATTGATAAAGTGCTTGATGCACTTGATTTACCACATAACTGCTTATCAAAGTTTACGCCAAATGTATCTCATGAGGAAACAAAAGCTGATATTTTATCCATATTGAATGACTTATCAAGGAAAATAGCTACAAAAGACGATATTAAGAAACTAGAATGAAATGCACAAAATCAATGAAAGGCTAACTGCCACCGAGTCGGAGGTGATAATGCTAATTACGGAGAAGACAAAAGAGGCGAGCTAAAGTACGGTTAGGGAAACATTGGCGTGTTATACGGGATAATGAACAATTCCCCTTGAATTTATAATTTACTTATTTTCATGCACGGACTATTTTTTTTTTTTGGAGGGGGGGGGGGGGGTATCAAGCTTGATTATATTTTGCTCCCCATTTTTAATTATGTGTAGGTTATATTATTTGTTTGTTTTTTTTCACTTTATAGTTTCCATTGCTTTCCGATAAAATTCTAAAATAGTTCAACAAATATGATATATCTATCTATATTGTAGAAGAATTAGATAAAGAAATGAACAAGTTTACATTGCATCAAATTTCAATATTTTATCTATTGCATCGGAGCATGATTTACAAACAACATGTTTTTTTTCTGCTTAGCAAGGATATGAATTTCCTCAAAATTTTATCCATCACAAACCTGTAAATTCTTAGATTCACTCTTAGATTTTTGGAATTCTGAAACTTTTGTATTTTTATAGCGCAAGAAGAACCCTTAGTTTTGAAATGTACGATCAAAAATAAAACATAGTAAGAGGGTTTGAAATTGTTCAAAAAAGGTCAATCAGGAAAACATAGTAAAAGAAGCCGTACATTAGTATTTCAGTGGCATATAATATTTTCGGACGGAAGGAACAGTTTACAGGATGACTTGCGTGAAGAAAAACCATCATTCCGGGATTGCAGTGCAGTAGAAAATGAATTTCGTAACGTGACTTTACCGTATTTCCGTAAATAAAATCGTTATTACGCGTACAGAGGTTGGAGGATTGCAGGATATGAGACAGGCATTGTTAAAAATATGAAACCTGAACATTTTTGCACATATTTATGACTGGTTTAAGCGACATAAGAAATGTATTGAGTTAAACGGTGACTATATTGAGAAAAGTTACTTCTACTAGTATTATGCTTTTGACGTCGGGTAACGTCAAGAATTTTCAGTTTAGTGCTCTAAGTAGGAGTGTGTGTGTTTTTTAATCTGATAAAAATATAAATATTTGTGCTTTGTTCTTGTTGAAAACTGGCATGTTAATAAAATGAAACATGACTTTAATGAAAATAATAGTTTCATATATTTTATCAATGTTTGTCAGTAATTATCAATATTGTCCACGAACTTAACGGACAACCCTCGTACTGGGTGAGCATCCTGGATTTTTAATATATCTATTCTCATTCTTCATTACTGAGTAACAATTGGTTGCATCAAACCTCAGTTTCAAATTGTATACGTGCACATGTTTTGTCCTTGTTGAAGTATATAATGGCAGCAAAAAATCGCCATTTTTTACAAACTAGATATATAAAGGTCATATTAAGAGGTCAAATGTCAAAACAAATATAATGACTCTATCTTTTAATTTCTTGTATTTTAAAACGTAAAAATATCTTAAGGGGGGACCTATGTCATTCTACGTCAAAGCAGCGTTATGTGACGTCACAATTGCGACGTTTGTTTTTTCCCGCTGACTTTCGCAACTGTGATTATAGGCATAACATTGTTATTAATCAATAACGTACACAGTTTATAAAAAGAATTTTTTTTTCATCATTTATGACAGTTTTATTTGATTTATGGAGTTTGTTAATATTAGAATTCTCTTCCTATGGTTGATAGTTCATAGAAATTTCAGTTGTAAAGAAATACCTCCATGATATGCTGACATAAAAGTGCAAAAAATATCAGATAAAATTTAGCAAAGAAAGCGGCTTAAATCAGGGAAATATGTTTAATTTTATGTTTACCATTTATTGTATTTTCTGGATAAAACTGAGAAAAAAATAAGATGAAAATTTGAAATGTACCTATATTTACTTATTGATTTATAGTATTTATAGATTTTATTGTATAAACTAATTCCTAGGTTCTATTAGGTGTTGGTTGTTGACGGGAAAATAGGAGGGGGGGGGGGTCAGAATGATTAGAATGAAGAAGAGAAAAGAGTTTATCGGTTTAATTTATTTCTAATCAAAACAAAATACTCGTTTTTGGCAAAAAAGTTTTATATTCAGAAGTTTGTAAGTGCTTACTTACTCTTTTTTAGTGCAGAAAGGTCAATATTTATGATAGAATAGTACGTAAATTAAAGAAAACGTCATATTTCTCGTTTATTTTGTCATAAAGGTATATTTTTTTCTTTGTTAAAATTAAGACAGGAGTTGTTTCTTTCAAAAATTATGAATTACTACATTTTCACACAAAGACTTTTTAAGATATTACCTGTTATGCATGTCGGAATTGTGAAAAATTCGACAAGAAAAACGGGGTGATACTTACATTGTGCTCCTTTATAATTTTTCATGCGAGATGAATGACAATGAATTTGCCTTCATTTTAAAGATACAAGTCATATAAATTAAATACTTGTTGATTTCGAATGTGATTTGACATTTTTAATTCTTTTTAGCGCATATTTAAATTAGAACAATAATGTCTGAAAATAATCTATTTTTAGAATTTCACACTGTTTTTGCACGTGCTCCTGTGTAAAAATAAGCATATAAAGGTATTGTTTTTAATACCTAAAAATTAAGAGCAAGTGGTCAGGAAGGAAATGTCGAAGTTTTGAAAATTTCACACAAAGACTTTTCGGACATAGGTCCCCCCCTTAAACCGCTGGTTTGATTTTCCTCATTTTGACACAATTTCATCGAGGTTCAGGGCTAAGATCAAAATGTAGAAAATAAAAGGAGTATGCAGTGTTCTGCATTTTTACAGTTTTGAAAAAAAGAAGAATGAGCATAATGACCAATTAGTGGTGTCTGTATTATTTAAGAGAGAGAAAACATCTGGGTCTAGAATATCTTGGCAAAGAAAACTTTATACTCTACAACAGATATTGTCTTTATCTTCAATTGACATATCACAAAAAACTTTCAGAAATAAATTAGAGGAGCATTGGAGTAACAAAATCGGTGACAATTAAAACAACATTTCTAAATCAGATTCTGGAAAATTAACCTTTTTATAGTGATATAATTAATTTAAATTAATATATATTATAAACAAAACAATTACCATTGAACAAATGAAAGGGCAACCCTTACAACTAAGAATTAGTGCTCATACACTACGTATTGAAATGGGGAGATGTTCAAAGTAATCTATTCCTAAAAAAAAATGAAAAACATTTTGTACTTTATTGCCCAAGTTATGATCAATGTTGATTACACTGTGGCTATATAGTTATTGTCCAAAGTTACATGAAGGAAAATCCTGTTATTGACATTATCAACCCCTGAGTATTAAAATTGCTAGAAAGTATGTAACATTCTGAAAAAGTGCTTTGATATAAATGAGAAAACCTCCAAAAAAACCTGATATGCTTACTTGGATATTTTTTCTTTACGTATTTCATTTGTTGTACTCATGACTATATCGCAATGTATGATGGCGATGTCAATGGATGGTGTCACGGATTATCCGCGGGTTTATGTAACGTACGTTAACGTTATTGTTACGTCACAATACTGTACGCTTTGTTTCTATAGTTAATAACAGAGTCTAAAATAAACCACTATACGATCAAGACGCATTTCTATTCTTTCCACAACAATTTTGGTGCCGTGATCGACGGAATGTTTACATAATATACGCACAATGGAAGGAAGACTGAAAGCCATACGGGCCGGTAACAGATCAGCGGTAACGAAACTTTTCGGACGATTTTTGGACTTGAAAGAAAATACAGCCAGTGAAGTAACGGAGGAAGTCGAAATAAATAGAAGGTCTCTAACGCAAAAAAGACAAATTCTTCAAGAACTAAATGAACGAATATTAGACGCCTTATCTGAAGAGGATATAGAAGAAGAAATCACAAACACAGATGAGTATATGTACGAATTAGATTGCAAAATTAAGAAAACAGAAAAATTTACAGAAAAGGTTTCATGTAAAACTTTGAACGCCAGTGCTGAGTGTTTTGTACCCGCCTTAGAAATTCATGATAGTAACGTAAACACAACAGCTGCAATTAATTCAAGTGAAACGGCTTGTGAGAATATTCTAAACAATTTTCCTGCCACTGATCTCGATGAACAAAGTAACCACGATTGGCAGAAAAATGTTTTGTCATTACCATCCAACCACGCTACGAATAATCATAGATTACCGAAGCTAAATCTTCCAGATTTTGACGGGGATATATTACAATGGAATACGTTTTGGGATTCATTTGAATCAACAATTCACCGCAACCAAACTTTAACACCAATTCAAAAGTTCTCGTATCTCAATTCTCAATTACGCGACGCAGCAGCACAAACCATTGCAGGATTTACTCTCACAAACGTAAATTATGAAACCGCCATAGACCTGCTCAAGGAACGGTTTGGTCAACCGCAAAAAATTATCAATGCTCACGTGAGAGCACTTATGGAACTGCATGCCCCGATAAACGACGCCATCAGTTTAAGAAATTATGGAGACTGCTTGGAATCTCATGTCAGGAGTTTAGAGTGTCTAGGACAAAAACAAGAGATGTACGGAGCTTTACTTATTCCAGTCATAATGAACAAGCTACCAGCTGAAATCAGGAAAAACATTGCACGTGAGTACGATGGTGACAACATTTCACTACACAATCTTCGTAAAGCTATCAGCAAAGAAGTCAAAATCCTTGAATCAGGCCAGATTGAAAACAGCGATGGATTCCACGCAACAGCAATGTTTCTTACCGGAGCCTCAAAGAAACAACGCCATGTTCATAATGGACACAACCAGAAAACAAGAGAGTCAACTCCTTATGTCGAAACAACAGAGATAAAGAGCCGCCCATGCATTTATTGTTGCACAGAGAATCACTTTCCAGGGGACTGTAATAAAGTTACAGAAGTAAGTACAAGATTCGATATCTTAAAACGGAAGAAATTATGTTTCAACTGCTTAGGAAACCACCGCGCCGCAGATTGTAAATCCCGCAACAGATGTGAAAAGTGCCAGAAGAAACACCTCACAAGTATATGCGACATGAAACTAACGAGGGACAAAGACGAGCCCACCAGATCAACAAGTGTCAACATTGTAGAAACGAGCAAGAAGGCAGAAACTACAGTACTGAACGTTGAACATCGACCTACAAATGTTTTACTGAAAACAGCTATCGCCCCGGTGAGTCATGAAAATCAGACAACCGATGCTAATATCTTATTTGACGAAGGATCACAAAGATCGTTCATAACAGAAAAACTCACCAATGAGTTAGAAATCACTCGAAGGAAATCCGAAGCAATTAAACTATCTACTTTTGGGGAAAATGGAAGTGTCCAGTATCTAGATAGTGCAACTATCAATTTGATAACCGACTCAGGAGAATTGATTGCTATCAATGTTCTGATAGTACCATCTATAACCAGCCCTCTCACCAGCTACCACTCTTCTGAAGTAAAAAGACTGCCTTACCTTCAAGGACTCAAATTAGCACATCCGGTTTCAGTTGACAGCGAATTTGTGATTTCCCTTTTAATTGGAGCAGATTTTTACTGGAGAATTGTAGAAAATCAAGTCATTCGAGGATCGGGACCAACTGCTGTGAAGTCAAAGATTGGATTTCTACTTTCAGGGCCAACTTCTCAATCATCTTGTACAAACAGTGCCAGGGATCACATCTACAACGTAATAGCTATGCATACATCAGTAGAACAAGCACTGGAAAGCTTCTGGAAATTAGAGAACATTGGAATCACGGATACACCAGATAAGAACGAGTCCAATGATAAAGTCAAGATGTACCAAGATAAATGCATCGAGTTTCGAGACGACAAATACTACGCCAAGTTGCCATGGAAAGATGACCATTCTGAGCTACCGTCGAATTATGGAATTGCACTGAAAAGAACCCAAAGTACTATCAACAGACTAAGTAGCAACCCAGAACTTTTGAAGAAATACAGTGCGATAATTGAAGAACAAGAACGAAAGGGATTTATAGAAAAGGTTCCAGAAGATACAAAAACGTCTTCTGTGGTACATTATATTCCACACCACTATGTCAAAAAAGATTCCAGCACCACACCTATCAGAATAGTGTATGACTGTAGCTGCCGCGAATCACGTGACAAGCCGAGTCTCAATGACTGTTTGGAATCAACGCCACCCATCTTAAATGATTTGACATCAATTCTGACAAGATTTCGATTACACGAATTTGCTGTAACCACTGATATTGAAAACGTTGGTTTGCATGAAAATGACCGAGATGCAACGAGATTCCTTTGGTTAAAGGACCCAAATGATGTCAACAGTTCATTAGTGCCTTACCGTTTCAAGGCAGTGCTCTTTGGAGCCACTTGCTCTCCATTTATTTTAAACGCAGCAATTCTGAAGCATCTACAAAGCAACAACTCTACAAGTGCAGATATTCTGAGGAGAGATCTCTATGTGGACAACGTGATATCCAGTTTTGCAAAGGAAACTGATGCTATTGAGTACTTTCGGGAATCAAGAAAGATCATGATGGATGCAGGAATGAAACTTAGATCATGGGCATCGAACAGTAAGCTACTTCACACAGAAGCCATGAATCATGGATTACACGACTCGGACAAAGTAATAAAATTACTAGGATTACGCTGGGACCCAATGAACGACAAACTGTCATTTGTGAAACGAGAAATACCAAACCTTGAGACCGTTACAAAGAGATTGATACTACAATACTCATCACAAATATACGACCCATTTGGTATCCTGAGTCCAGTAACAGTGAGAGCCAAGCTATTGTTACAGTTACTTTGGAAACAAAAGTATGAATGGGACAGCCCAGTACCAGACGAAATTTGTAAGACTTGGAATTCTCTTGCAAATGATCTGAACATCGCATCATCAGTTCAATTTCCGAGGAGATGGATGGTGAAACAACACTACACATCTTTGCAGATGCTAGTACCAAGTCTTATGGAGCCGCTGCTTATATCTGCAATAGAAGCGAATCAAAATTAGTCATGGCCAAAAATAGAATCGCACCACTTAAATCACTCACACTTCCTCAATTAGAATTGATGGCAGCCCTAATCGCCGCAAGATTAGGAAATCATCTGCAAAACTCATTACCTGAAATGAATATTGTCTACTGGTCAGACAGCCAAATCGTGTTGCACTGGTTGTCTAGCAAAAAACTGTTGAAGAAATTTGTTTCAAACAGAATATTTGAAATTCGCGAATTATGTAGTGATTCACATGGAAATACTGTCCAACACATGACAACCCTGCTGATCTGCTGACCCGAGGACTTGACGCAACTTCATTCATGAACAGTACATTATGGAAATATGGACCGTCATGGATTTGCAACGGAGAGACATGGCCATGTTGGAGCCCACAACCGACCTCGGTACATTCGGTATTGGAAACAGAAGATGAATGCACGACAACGTCAAACGACCTTACTACTAACCCTGAAAATATTCTGAACATCGTAGACGTATCAAGATTCAGCGAGTACAAAAAACTACTACATGTAGTTGCATTTGTATTGCGATTTGTGAAAAATTGCCGACTTCCCACATCCGACAGAGAATTCAACAGTTTAACATCCGAAGAGCTGAACAGAGCCGAAAAGAACTTGATAAAAGGATGTCAAAAGAACGCATTTTCCAATGAAATTATGAAAATGAATTCCAATGGAGCCAAGCCATCTCGTATTAGACAGCTTCGTCTATTTCTTGATACGGATGGATGCATACGTTGTAGAGGTAGGATTTGCTATGCCGAAATAGACAATGAGACAAAGAACCCTTATTTACTACCAAAGAAGGACGCGTTAACACACTTGATCATCAGAGATGCTCATCAGCGGAGTGGCCATTCCAGCACGAATGCAACAGTGTCATACATCCGACAAAAGTTTTGGATACCAGCCATCAGACAAGCTGTAAAATTTGTCACGCGGAATTGTGTGATTTGCAAAATTGTACATGGAAAACACTATTCCTCACCAGAGCTGCCGCCTTTACCCTATTTTCGTACGGAGGAATCAGCGCCATTTACGAGTACAGGCGTAGACTTCACAGGAGCTTTATTCATCAAGGAACGGAACCGAAGAGAATCTAAAGCTTATATTTTCCTATTTACGTGTGCTAATACAAGAGCTGTTCATCTAGAGACAGTCAGTGATTTATCCGAACAATCATTTTTACGGGCGTTCCGTAGATTTGCAAGCCGAAGATCCGTACCTAAGCTAATCATCTCAGATAATGCGCCAACTTTCAAGTCTGCAGCGAATTACCTGAAGCAACTGTTTGAATCTTAAACTCTTAAAGAGGAACTTGCAGATATGGGAGTTAACTGGAAATTCATTCCGAGGGCAGCTCCATGGTATGGAGGCTTTTGGGAGCGACTCATCGGAATTACCAAAACAACACTGAAGAAAATAATCGGCCGTTCATACATCGATTTAGAAACTCTACAAACTGTAGTAACAGAGGTTGAGGCGATAGTTAATGACCGTCCGTTAACATACGTTTCATCGAACCTGGAGGATCCAGAGCCACTAACGCCATCACATCTACTGTACGGAAGAAGACTGACGTCCTTGCCATATCCGACAGAGGACCAAGAGAATTCAAGCGATTGTCACCCATTGACTTGCCGTCGTCTAAACCAACGTCTGGATAATCAGAGTACTATCTTAAATCACTTTTGGATCCGCTGGAAGAGAGAATATTTAACATCACTCAGAGAGTACCATACAGCAAATGGAAGCAGGTCGCAGAAAATTAAAGTCGGTGATATTGTCCAAATCCATGAGGAGAAACCTCGGATCATGTGGAAACTAGCTGTCGTGGAGGAACTCATACAGGGGAGAGACGGATTCGTTAGAGCTGCCACTTTACGGACCAAAAATGGACTTACCAACAGACCAATTGTGAAACTATATCCAATCGAAGTGAATGAGAACGAACTTAAAATACTATCTTCTGATCGAGTGTCAAAAACAAAAGCCAAAGAAAGAATCCGTGAATGGACCTCTTAATTGAGTGATTATGAACTTGTATTTATTTTGAATTTCAATGAACTGTTAATTTGATTTGAACTTTTTAATATTGTAGTATAATTCATTTTGGTGCCCGGAGTGTCACGGATTATCCGCGGGTTTATGTAACGTACGTTAACGTTATTGTTACGTCACAATACTGTACGTTATGTTTCTATAGTTAATAACAGAGTCTAAAATAAACCACTATACGATCAAGACGCATTTCTATTCTTTCCACAACAGATGGATTAAATTGAATTAGAATTAATTTTAAATTAAACATACGTATTAGGTATCGGCATTACTTTTCACATGGCTTGAAATTAAATTCCATGAGGATAATTTAATTTCTACATAATTTTTTTTAAAAGCCTTAAGAGGGTACCTTTGTCGTTCTAATTCATAGCAGCTTTATTTGACGTTACCATAGTGACGATTCTTTTATACCTGTTGACTTTTGCATTTATATGTTTGCAAATATAATATAGACCCAACACGTACACGAGTTTCAAAGAGAATTTTATATATTCTTTATTACAGTTTTATTGGATTTATAGAGTTTGTTAACGTTAAAATTCTATTTCTTTTGTTGATACCTCAAAGCAATTTAACGAGTCCCGATCTAGTTGAAAATTACGAAAACGGAATGAAAAAAAGTTTTAATTCTTGGAAATATATTTGTATGTTTTATGCTAAGAAAAATTAGAATGTAATTTTTTTTACCTTGCACTGTCAAGATATGGATCATTTTTCGTGTTTTTATATAAACAATTACATACTAAAACTCTCCAATAAACAAGGAAATTGACAAATTTAAAAAAAAATAAATGAGGAAATACTTTGTTTTTCACACTTATCATAATTTTTTTTTATTCTTCTTATAAAAAAAATGAAAAGAAAATTTGAGGTAGCCTTTATTACAGTGAAAAGGGGGCATGTCAAAACACAAAATTTGGATTTATTTTATCCAATTAGGTATTTTATAAGTCGCGATGGGTTTACATAACATCAACAAACGATTGCAATACTATATTAGTTTCTACAAAATAAATAATTTTTACATTATAAAATAATTTTCTCGACATGCTTTATTATACCCCCCCGCTTGAAAAGCGGGAGGGTATATAGTAATCGTTAATTCCGTCCGTCTGTATAGCTGTCCGTCCGTCCGTCTGTCCGTCCGTCCGTCTGTTACGCTTTGGGGTACCTATCTCTTATCCGCAACTCCTCTCATACCACTGAATGAAATTTGATGAAACTTTCACAGAATCTTTATTACATATTGCCATTGTGCACCTCCTATTTTACTTTTAGATCCGACACATATTTTGGGTTTCCCGGCCACAGCAAAACATGGACTTTGCCATTATACATGTTACTATATGGAGGCGGGGGGTATCATTTAGTGATCTCATTGCTCACAGTACCTCTAGTTTTCCTCTTAACACACAACGTTGTTTTACGTGGAAAAAAGGCCCCGCCCGTAGAGGGAGGGAGGGACGAAAGGGGGGGGGGTGTTGAGGTGACAAAATTACGATTTTTATTAATATCATGTAATATATAGAAAACTAAAAGATTTTGGGTGTTGCATTTAAATGATTCATAGACTAATTTTTTTTTAAAACTGAAGATAACCCATGCATTTTTAAGTCCTCAATAAAAAGAGTGTATAAACACTTCAACATGTTCAAGAAGAAAGACTAAAATCGTTTACCTTTGGTTGCAGTGTTTGTTTTTTTTAAACTCACAAATTGAAATTAATAAAAAGGATAAAATTAATGAATCTGTACCAAAAAATTGATCCCTCAAAATTAATTATGTTCCAAAGTTGTGTATTAATTTAAACAAATATATTTTTTAAATGTAAATAACAGAAATGCCAGCTTTCAACATGCACAGTTTGTACTAGTAGAGCTACCAGGTAAACAAGATCGGCGTAATATTTTAGCGCAATTTGACGTCATTTTAATTGTGACGTTATTGTGTTCAATTGTGACGGCAGTCAAGGGTATTGTGACGTGCCTGAGTCGACGCTGCGTTAAAACGTATGCGCTGATCAAGTAGATCGGGCCTCGTTAAGTTGTGGAAAAATGCCCCGATAAAATTTAAAATGATAAGTTTAATTCAACAAAGAAAGCGGCTTCATTAGGAAATTATGTATAATTTTATGATTAACTTTTTTTTTTCGATAAAGCTAAGATAAATTAAAAAAGAATTCTTGTACTTATATATGCTTATTGTTTAGTATATTAGTATTGTAAAACCATACCTAAGTTTTAATGGGGGTGTTTACAGAATGCTTGGAATAGAAAAAAAAACTAAATCAGTGTAAATTGTTACAAATAAAAGCATGCATAATATAGAATACTTGTTTTCCGCAAAATAGTTTTTTATCCAGATGTTTATCAGTTCTGCCATACCTTTGTCTTTTTGCAGAAAGGTCAATATTTATGAAACAAGAGTACAAAAACTAATGAAAACTAGATATTTCTTATTTATTTTATCATATAAAGGTACATACTTTTTCTTAAAATAAGTAAATAATTTATTTCTTTAACATACGAGGGCTGTTCAATAAATAATTTTCTGAACTCTATGGCATAAAACACAGGTATCATATGACATAAAGCTTGACTTTCTCTCATGATTTAATCTTTAATGAATTGATATCAGTTGATGTGACCACTTTTCATCTCATATTTACACTGTGAGAAGCGAAAAAAAAAAACTTAAGGCTATTCGAGACACTGCATTAAAAATGAATCAGTAAACAAGAGTGAAATTAAACACTTCAATTCGGCTGCTGTAATACCTGATATGATTCCATAAAAATATTCACTGAAATTTGTGAAAATTCAAGCAACCAATGGTTGTTTTATAGACACATGAGGCATCAAAAATGGGTCCCTTCCTTGGCAACAAGGACTTAAATCAACCAATTTATGATGTTTGGTTGACTTATAAAAAGATAGCAAATTTAATGGGCATCAATTTGGGGGTAACTCACACTAATTCAAAGAAATGTTTGACATTAAAAAAGCTAAGTATTCAATGGTCACCTTATGTTTTGAAAAATGGGTGAAAACGACATCGTGTTTTAGAAAATCAGAAACTGTAGTTATGCACGTTTGTCTGAAATGCAAACAGATATTGAAACCTGAATCCATTGCTTTATTACCCTCAAAACATACAACATCAGATGCTCTTGACAAAAACAGCAAAGGTCTGGAAAAAAGCAAAGAATTACAAGGGGAAAAAGAGTTTTATGTGCCATTTCCTGAAATATCTGTGGTCTTGTTGTTCAAATTCCTTTCGGGAAGAAGTTTATTTCTGGAGGAGTTTAGAAAGCATTTTTTGCAAAAAAAAAAAAAAAAAAAAAAAAAAAAATGAACGGTTTTTAAGAAGAAGGAACTGGAAGCAGGAATCCACTACATTAAATTTCTTCATGACAACGTCCAAACCCACACGTCAGATAGAAGAAACAAAACCAGGAAATTATAGGTCCTGCCATATACGAAGGGTCATATTCAAACATGAGTTCTAAAACCAATCAGAAATTTGATGAAAATGTTATGGACATGTGTTTTAATTCAAAGAGAATATTTAAGTTTAATTAATTAGAAAAAAAATATTGAAAAGCGTCTTTTGATTCTTTCCGAGCACCCAGGACATTATTTATTGCACAGCCCTCGTAATATGAGTAACAACATTTTCACACAAAACTTTTTTAAATATTACATATTACTTACATAGTGCTCCATTATAATTTTTCACTCAAGATGAATTATTATGAATTTGTCTTCATTTTAAAGATACAGTATTGAAATAATTTCAATACATGTTAATTTTGAATTATATTTAACCTTTTCGAGTCTTTTAAGCATTTTTTTTTGTAAATATATTGTCTACAAATAATCATTTTTGGCATTTTACACTGTTTTTGAACTTGCTGCCGTGTTAAAAAATGAACATTTCACACGAAGACTTTTCGGGCATAGGTCCCCTTGATTAAGAGGAGGGGGCGCTGTGTCGTTCTACGTCAGAGCAACGCTCTTTTACTTTACAAGGATGTAAAGCGGCGTTTCTTGCTTATCTGTTGATTTTTTGCAGATATGATAAACTGTTGAATTTCAAGGCCCTTTGATCAGGGTTCTGGTACAAGGACAGGTCTTCAATGATTATAGTCAAAATGACATAACTATCTGAAAATCTTCTCCTCTGCTCCTTGGTAATAAACCAATGAATCCTGTACATAGTTAAAGTTATGATTAGGAAAGAAGCAATCTTCCAAAATTATGAATTCCATGGCCTATCGGTCAAGGGGTAACGGGAGGTGTGAGTTCCACTTAACATACCCCCCCCCCCCCCCCAAGTATATTAAAAATGAATTAATATTTTGAAATCTGCTCTTTGGTATTAATCAACCAATTTAGATGAGCAAAGAAGCCTTTTCCAAAATTGTGAAATATGTGGCGCCGGTGTAATGTTGAATATTGACCCCAGTTGAAAATTGACCCGGGGTGATTTTTCAACTTTGAATATTGAACCAGGGGTGTTTTTTTCTCCGTCGAAAATTGATACCAAAAGTCGTTGAATTTATACCCGAGGTCATTTTTCAACAGCTTAATATTTTGTTTTCTTATTATCCTCGATGACCTCAACAAGTTGAAAATAGACCCTATTGAATATTGACCCCTTCTCAGAGTTCGAACATTTTTTTGAACTTAGAAGCTGTTTTACGGGATTTATCAGTATCTCTATATTTATATTTCGGTTTCAATTTTTTTCCTTTTTCAAGAAAAATAGAAATATACCTATCATCCCGTGTATATATGTACATTTTGATCAGTACACGATTTCAGTTATCTTCAAGCATGACAACTTTATTTTTTGACAATGCTCTCTAAAATCCACATCCATAAATAACTAGAAAACTATGAATATGGCATAAAACAAAAATCCTGGAAATCGGGTGTCTAGAAAGTGAGCCCTATATA